ACATGATCATCCTTTCGATCTGTAGTGGAAATGATAATTCCTAGTCGGATAAGTGAAGGAATTAACCTCTATTTCATCTTCCCGATGATGGTGTTTAGTTCTGGTTGTTGTTAATCTTACTGTATAACACTGTGTGAATAATCGAAATAAAATCTCATCCATGATGGAATTTTAATCTACCACAGTGCTCAAGATTTATACTTGTATCAATAATCTTGTCGCAGATAGTTGATATACTCATCAAATCTATCTTCTCTATGTCCTGACTTCGATGTCCACCTCTTTATCTAGTTTGTCGATTTTCGCCTGCAAGTCTCCGAGTTTGTGTGCCGTCAAATAAAGATCATCTAAACACCAACTCCACATCTTCTAGAATCTTCTCATCAGTGGTCCAGCGTACTCCTGTCTCCTCGCTCTCTGTGACATAGTCAGACGCAGAATCCAGTCCACCAGAATTAAGAGTATCATCGGTGATGATATGCAGTCAGCCTTGTCTCACTACTGTGTTCACATCGAACGCCTCACTGAGTTTTCTATCGTGGATCACTTGACACTTGGCATTATCATACAACCAGCTGATGAATGACTGGACCTCGACGCGCTTTACGATTAGCACGCTACATTTTCTCAGTTACACAAAACTCTGATTCCTCTCTCGTTAACTGCCAAAGACGTTTAGCAATTTATTGTTTATTCATTTGACTTTTGAAAACTTTTTGGCATTTTGTGACAGTTTAACACTAACTAATATCTTGTATCCTACCTATTCGTCTTCATCGTTCACCCTGCTTGTTTTTTCCTGGTTTGCTCGAAAAGGACTATGTCACATTTCGTAGAATGCTGAAGACTGTCAGTCAGTAGGGTGAGTGCTGTCCCAGTGGACCACATAGTTAACGTCGTTGTCGATAGGCACTTGACTTCGTTCAATGAATTTGCTGAAGGGATTTTGTCTGACTTGGAGCATCCACTTCATCCTCAGCTTTCAGCTTGCATCTCCTCAGTAGAACAAGAAGTAACTTCAGAAAACTGTATGCTCGCACGTCTGAGTATAAATCTTCTATGATACAATACTTGGCACGTGTTTTATATGATGAATATAATGTCAAGCAAGAATTAACTAACCTTTTCTCATCTAGTAAATAAATATCCATCCATCCTTATATACCTTCAAGTTTTGCTTTTATTATTTTATTATATTATTTATGATCCTGTTGCTTCTTTGATTTACTCTCATAATTGCAAACACCAACTTTTCTCTATGACTGATGTAATCGTTGTTCTTTCCCTCACCATATCACGTAGAGAGAACATTATATTCAATAGTATTCTAACCATGTTAGGATTTCTATACCGCATCAAACAATACTGTGTGAAACAATCCAACAGCAATTTTCACTTGTACTATTATTATTATTACCTTAGCTGTTATCATTAATATTATCTGCATTTTGTATGCTGCATGTTTTTGAAATTACCTCGATTGTAAATATGGAAAATTTTCTGTGTGATTCAATTTATTTATATTTTGAGGAAATTAGATGCAAGATATTGTGATGAATGCTGAAAATTCCATTCTGTATCACAAGTACTGTTTTTGGAATAAAGTGAATTATTGTTATTTTTATACATTTGCGTAATAAGATGACTGTCTTGACCGTCTCTTCAAAGCTATTCATTCGCGAATTCATTCAAACACAAACATGGCGAATGATGAGGACCAAGATAGGCATAGACAACAAGACAAGGAAGTGCAGCCAGAAGCGATTGATTGAATGAAGGCAGTGTCTCATATGTAATGCGTGTAGAAATTCAATAGCACGGTGCAGGAAATTAACTTGACTGGTTCAACCGCCAATTTCACTGCTCCTCAACACTCTATACAATATCCTAACTTAAGAACTCTCATTGTGCAGAATGAGATTTAAATAAAAATAATTTGTAACATTGAAAAATTCTCATCAAACAAACAACGCATGAACTTCACCTGAAATCACACAAATAATTCCGTCCTGTGTAAGCAGTTTCATCGTACGATATGAAGCAACTGTCGTGCGTTATTTTTATGTGTGAGCAGATGATCATTGATTATGATCACTATTGAGGGAGATGGCTTCTATCTGAAATTATCTACACTTCCACTGTTCATACTCACACTTAGGAATATTAACGACATGATTGAATGAAGACGAAATTCAGTTGCTTAAGCGAATCGATTTTGAGTTCTGTACACCGATGACGACGATCATTGTGATTTTAGTGAAAAGTCATTTCCATCTCAAATGAACTAATTCCACTCATCCTTATGACGATTACCACAGACGTTTTTTGTTGCTTCTTGGTTGCGCTAATGTCTTTGCTCTCTTTGAAGATGTAGTCCGAGTGAAAAGCGTCCTCCACAATGACGAATCTGCGGAATATTTTGAAGAAAATTCTAGATATCCATTCCACTGTACCAGTGTTTTTTGAAATCTCAGAATCATTGGGGGCGACCAACAAGCTCAACTGGCAGCACCAATATGACACACATCTGATTGAACTACCCAGATAAGGCTGACAATACGCTTTCATAAAATCTTAGAGTTGACACCCGTAGTATCCCCGTTGATGGTTTCATTTAAGTTACTACACATTGAGACTTTTATTCTATTTCTGAATTACGAATGCATTCGCCACCTTCTATTTTCAATCCGTATGGAGAAATGTTCCTTTCAGTAGTCACGCGTAACTCAGTTGACGCAGTGTGTAGGCAATTTCTTTCGGAATTTCGGAATCACGTAGTGTACGTAGCCAGATACTTCTCTCTCGACCAGGATGGTAACCAAGAAACAATTTTATCACGATGTGTTCTTCATTTATAGAGAGAAGACCAGTAGTTCAGCGAAGAATTTATTTCCGGTGAATTCATTTTCATAGCTGTACAATCACAAATTTATACATGGTTCCATTGATTCAGCGAAGAGACTCTTTCAACGAATCTATTATCAAGGTGTACAATCGTTAATATGTGGTGTGTGCTCACTGCATCCTTTTTACTTGTCATTGTCCCTGTGTAACCTATAATGTTCATGCTTCCCTGTGTTCACACCACAACGAGTCAGCTTTGCTCTTTACACACGGATTATGGAAGTGCATTCTGCAGACATTTCACGATATTTAGGTATCACCCAGAGTGTCCTCATTCAGTGGTATCTAAGTGATATCAGTGATCAGGCAGATAACTGTTATGACTATGCTAGGTATTGGAATTAGTGCCTAACATGAATGGGGTTTGAATTCATGAAGAGAAAGCGGTGTAGCAGAAAAGTGATTTATTTAATTTAAATTAAAAATGAAATATTTACGAAAGCTACTACAGTCTACATGTATTAAGTGTTACGCCAACATTTGAAATTCATCGTGGAACTTCTCCTCAATTTCCTGTGTGAGAATAAAACCAGTTAGCAATATTATTGAGAGAAATACTAGTGGTTAAAATAATGAAGAAAGAATAATCGTGAAAAGGAGGATGAATGTTGGTGAACTGTGTGCTTATTCATAGAATCCGAGAATTCAAGATATTTTAAGTGAGTGATGATTTCCATTTCTATGATTTGTCGGTGTATTTGAGTTGTTAAATTCAATAATTCACTATGGGTCGTGTGAATTTCACCAGCTTGATTGCATAGCCTCAGTGACATTTTTGAAATGTGCACACGGTTACTTACAACACCACTCATGATGCTTTCATCAATCGATTAAACACGAGTATTATACAGTGTAATTTGAACCACACATTCATGAATCAATATTTGAGCTGGACAGCGAAATGATGGTCTATGGTGAAAAATATTATCTGAATGTTGCAGTGAATATCCGAATCCAGTGTTGTGCCCTCCCCACTCATCATCCTACACTATCACACTTCGTTCGCTTCAAATTTGAGTCATAACCGCATTAACAGACCTTCTTATGATAAAATGTGGAAATATAATGCAAAATAAATCTCACCTCACAACCCCTTCAATAGGTTTTCGTTCAGAATTTTCCCATCTAGAAATAATAAAACAGATTGTGAAGTATTTGAATTGACCAGCGAAAGGGATTGTGGTCTATTACTGAGTTCTTCTGATAACTAACTAATCTTGGACAGGGATTGACTATTCTCACAATCACAGCACTGCCTTTATATTGTTTTTGCATAGAAATTGTTGATTGTGGAGTTTAATCATACAGAGAAAATGAACTCACAAATTTTAATAGTAAGCTTGTGCTTGTGCTCGTATAATTCAAATTCTCTTGACATGAGTCCTCTTATATCTGATAAATAAATCAAGGGGGGGATGAATACCTATGAGAACGCACTTCACAGGATCATACATGTCATGAAATAACGCTGAATAGTCTGTTTTGCACGCAGACACAAGCAATTGACTACTTCACAAACTCATCCACTTGCATGAATTTAAGAGTAAAACTTGTCCAAACTGCAGTCATAATATCACTTTTGTGGTACTCATTCAGTGTTTCACGTTCAACAAATTGTCTTCCAGTGTGTGTGTTTCTACTCAAAATCACAACTGCCGTTTTTAGACGACTGACTACCATCCAGAACACTAAACTTGTTCATCCTACTTCACACGGTATTTTCTGACTCTTGGAAAATCCTCATCATTGACTAGCGCATAATAAGCGATGGATGTTCATGAATTCAAATCATGATGACGAAGGTATTGTGACATGTGAAAATGCACCCTCATCGTGGGTGTATGCGAAAATGTTGTTCATCAGTGTTCATCAAGAATGTAAAAAAGGAACAAATGAATACCTCCTTTCGTTGGAAATACAAACCCGTAACAATTCTTTGGGTGGAACGCCTCTTTAATCGCTGTTCATGGGTGAGTAAGAGTAAAACACAGTTTGATTATTCACTCAAAGTTACAAAAGATGCGTGGAGACTTGCATTTCAAAAATCGTTACTCCACACAGACGAAACAATTCAGACTGGTTAGCGTAATAAAATCCTACTTACCTTTATATTCCAAGGTTTCTTGTTGGATACAGTTTTTCGCATCGACTAATTTCTTATGAGGGTCTGTAAGTAAATTAGTTTCACACGTATCAATCCATGTCTATTGTTTTCTCAGTATAGTGCTCATACAAATTTATGCATGTTAAACGCAAACACAACCAAAATTCTGATGAATCGTCAACCAATTCGTCATCTTCATCGGTGCATGAGGAAATTAGTCATCTTTGTTTCAAGTCAGTAAATAAAAGTCAGGACTAAAATAACAATAGTTGAGATGGTGAAGTGCGAATATAGGCCAGATGAAAATTGTTAGTCAGAATATTGACAAGAAATAATTATGACGGTAAGTAAGTACAGATATGATTCAAAATATTTAGCTTACCTTCGGGAAAAAAGTTAAGCGTATCTGAGAGAGATAGACTGAAGTAAGCATATTCGGCAGATCTGATCAATTTTTAGTTAGAAAACTTGCCAACGTTCATCACACCACTGTCGAATAGACGTTCAGTATTGAAATGATCGGTGAGAGAGCACATCAACAACTGTGATTGAATCCCGAAACCAACTTCTTATTTATCAGATGAAAACTCAATTTAGTGAACATATTGCGTAAATAAAATGATATTTTAATTGAAAAATTGCCACAACGTACTATTAAATGCCTTGAATCCCCAATAGTACTCGTATGCATATTCCAGGCAGCCCAGAACTAAAATAGGTAGTCCATCATTTCAATAAATTTGACTTGCTTACACGTTTTCATGTTTCCTTGAAAGTGTGGTTCTTCTTTGAGAATGAAGTCTAGGAAAACAGAAAAGTGAAAAGGGTCTAGTGATTACAGCTTCTGGAGACATGTATTAAAATGCCATAATTATCTGTTACATACTAGATAAAATGGTTGATGCTTTGATGTCATCATTGGTGATAATTTCGAAAGAATAATTTGAAGTATGTTTTCGTCAGCGTAAAAATATTATCAACAATAAATCTTTAGGTTTTATATACCTTTAATCTCTTTTATTTTCTTTTCTGATTTTTTTATAGCCGTAATGATTCCGGGTATTTCTCCTGTAGGGAAACGAGATTATTTTGAATGAATTGTCATATGTTAAGTAAGAACATTGGATACAAGTGAATAAGGCACATTGGAAATCGTTTCATTGAAGAAGGCTGAAGTAATGTCAGTTGGGGCACTCAAGTCTGAGACCCTCCCTATATAGGATTCTTAAGAAAGCAGGAATTAGGGTGGTGGCATTCAAACCTTCAACTTCACTCAGGTGGGACAAGTTATGTAGGTTGAAGGACACTGTTGGTTGACCCAATTAGACAGAATAACATATTTACGAAATACCTTGCAATTACTGTGAGATCAACTACATGGGTCAAACTAGTGGATCAGGAGTATTCAGTTTGGCGGAACATAAGAATTTAGTTAACGTTAGAATGGTTGAACCAATCCACGAAGGTAAGTAGCTTAGAAAACAGTTCAGCAATTGCACTGCATGCATTAACAATGCACGACCACACAGTAGGGTGGGAGTGAGTTAAAATTCTAAAAAGTTATGTAGGTAGGTGAAGAGAGGTTGGTTACTGAATCCTTGCTCATAGAATCTGCACTCAACAGTGCAATACAAAATGACGCATCACTCAAACCGGAATATGGAAAATACTACTACCAATCAAGTCAAGCGATGAAAAATAATGGAGTTGTGTAAACGAAGATAGGAAGTTAAGTGAATACCTTGATATGGATATGACGAGTAGTAAATTGTGCACAAAACCTCATCAGTGAATATTACCGTTTAACACTGTGAGACTATGTCAAAATAAGTTTCACCCATAATGAAACTATACTCTACCACAGTGCAGAAGTTGTATTCTTATATCAAGTCGATTGACAAACTCAAGTGATATTTATTTGAAACGTACTTACCCTTGATTTTAGCAAGTCTCGCTGAAATTGCATCTTTACTCGTCGACTCGCCTTGAAACGAAATGAAGAAATGCAACCGTCAATTATAATAGATAGGAGGAGTTTCAGAATACTGAAAATTATCAGAACAATTTGTCTACTTAAAATACATCAAACTGCTGTCGACCGCCTTATGTATGCCATTGCAGGGCAGAAACACATCATCTCAAAATGTGTATTCAAGCTGTTTAAATCTTAGGAAATTCTAGACTGACACATTATCCAAATGAGAGAACATGTCACTGTGCAACTGTTGATTTACGCAGTTTCTGAATCAGAGTCAGGAGAACAGACGCCTTCGCTATTACACTGCTCTTTACCATGTATCAGGCAAGATGAATTTGATATGAAAGCGTACGCGACAGCGACCATTCCTCAGCCAAAGCTTAACTTGTGAGAATAGCCCGTGAGAGTAGCCGGCGAAATATTTAGCAGTTCTAGTGAATAAGGCGAACCTTTCGTAAGGATTAAGGAAGAAATGTACCATCTTTTGAAGAAAGTGCTTACCTGAATTTATGGCTGTAAGTGCCAACAGGGTGAAGAAGGCTATGTGGCTGTATGCGAAGTGGACCATCTTCTTATGAAAACTGACTTTCCGTTCCCTTATTTATACTACAAGAAGCAGTCACAATTATTGTTGTAATTGGTTGATTACAATAATCACGATTTCATCGTTCATTTGTGGATGACTGTGAGTGTTGTGATTGGTGTGTGAAACAACGTCTCATGATATCGGGTGAGTCATATAATTGATCGGAGCAATCTGATAGGTGTATTGAAATCTATCGATCTGCAGAATCACCTCAATCCAAATAGTAAGCAGAGTTCATGTGATGGTGTCCACATGAAGAAAGGACACTCGCAATACACCGTGGAAGATCACAGTTGAGAAGTCATCCGACTTCACGAAGATTTGAATTAGCCTTACTAATCTGCAACTGAGAAAAATAACCCTTGAAGCGCTTTTCGATTAGTGCGCTACGTTTGCTTAGTTTCATAAAACTCTCATTTCTTTGGTGCTTTCTCACCAGGAAGTTGTGGGATTCATTGTACTTAGTTCACCTTTGAATACTGAATCTGTGGATATAATCTGGCTGATTGATAATACCGAAGACTAACTGTTCGGCATATTGTGACTGCTTAACACTAACTAATATCTTTATTTGTATATATATATATATATTGTCTGATTTACATGCTCAAGTTGACCCAAGTCAGTGACTCTGTGGTTTCCATATCATTTTTGTCAACTGTGTTTGACAGTGATGCTGCAACTATGGGTTCTTCTGTTGTTGTTGTCGTCGCTGACCTTCCTGTTGAGAATATTTTCTTTTCTTGTAACTGGTGTTGTTCTGATTGCTTTAGTCCTTGTTTTCCTGATTCGAAGTGGAGAAACATAAGACGTCTCTCCTCTGCAAACTATGTATTCATGTAACAACCCACTTTTCAGGCGTGAGGCTAGCAAACCCAGTCTGTAAACAAAGTTCCTACAGAAACTTCAGTGCGATGAGTTTCATCGCCAGAAAACAAAAGAAACTCTATGGGAACATTGAACGTCCGCACCATGTACGAGACTGGCAAAGCTGCCCAGATTTCAAACGAGATGAAAAGATATGGAATTCAATTACTGGGGATATGAGGAAGCAGATGGAACGGGAGTGGCCTCACCAAATTGTCAATGGGAGAGTCGTTTGTCCACTCCGCACACCCACAAGACAACCGTGAGCACACTGAGGCAGTGAGTGGCTACCATGATGTCACTAACAGTAATGAAGGCCCTGATGCAACAAGAAGCAATCTCCCACAGGAAAATGACAGCCAGATTCAATCCAAAAGCAAGGAAAGTATCAGTTATGTAATACTTTGCACCCAGGAAAAACGCAGAACTCAAAAATCAAGAAGAGTTCTGCAGAAAACCACTGCCGACAATGGACAATACTTTATTATGGATAAGATTCCATTTTGATAAATCACACAGTGCTGTACAGTGATTGAGGTTAGTTGGCTCAGATGAAACAAGTGATGTGGATTAGCATGAGAGAGGGAGCAGAAAAACTGATTCAATGAATTAAACTACAATTAACATTGATCTCACCGTTACAACCTATACACTATAGATAAATTACTATCGCTTCTCTTGACTCCCCGAGGTGATCATGCTGAAATTGGATGTTTGTTGGCCAAATTGCAGGTTCCAATAGAGCTTTCATTTTCATCATTACTATAATTAAATTATTTCTGAAGTGAAATACTCAGAAATACACGTACAGACTCATAAGAAACACAACGTGTGATGTTGATGCTGAATAACGCAAATATTTCTTCCTACTGTAATTAATTATGCGTTACTAAAATCACCTCATTTGAAGGTTATTCATAATATTTACTAAGAACTATTCAACTAACACACTTTTACCAAGCATTTATTAAAATTACTGTTTGGAAAAGAGCTGTTATTTTCACCATTGTCATCATTATATCATTTCTAAATCAAAATAATTAGAAATAATAATTATACAGGAAATATACAACGTATGATGTTGACCCTGAATAACACAAATATCTCTTCATTCTGTAAATCATTATGCTTCTGCACAAGCTTCTACAATCAATATTCACCTAACTTACTGGTTCCTGATGAAACTCACGTGTATCATTCATTATAGCACTTTTACAAATGATTTATTGTGATTAGTTGGACGAGAACTCCGATGTCTAGTACGTAGAATAAATGACATAAACCATGGGTGTAGTGTTTCGCTGGTAGACGCCAAGTTGCGCGGAGAACACTTTTCGAACTAATCTCATATCGAATAACACAACGGTTGCGTGGTGTCATCCACAAGCGTCCTGGAAACCCCAGTATTATTATCATTAGTAAAAGTAATTTCAAAAATACGAATATAAATCCCCTTTTATAATATTCAAATTTGTTTCAGGTGGAACATCGAGATTCAAGAGCACATCTCCGTTTCATATTTATCTCTACATTTTGTTTCAACTGATATTATTGATAATAATAATAACCGACTTATTCCAAACAGTATGTAGTTGACAGCATGTTCTAGAATGTTCCATCCCATTTACTCGTTACATTACTTATTAAAGGTTAGTGTAATTCCTACGACGTTCCGATTGCCAACAATGTATATTCATGATAAAGAAATGATATGAGGTGGCGTTTATTTGTTGAAATTTTTAGTAGAAAATCACCAGCTTCATGTCCAACACGTCTTTCGTCTGACATATGAAACGCCAGTCAAATATGCCTTCGTCAAGTTTTTGTTATTATGTCGTCTGAAGATAGGGTCTATTACAAATGGTTGCATTCCTACCTGATGAGATGTGTTCGGAGAATTGTGAACGAGGAGTGGGAAGCCATGTAAAGGAATGAGAAGTAAGTATATAAGAGTGAGGCTGATGGATTTTGAGCATGCGATATTCTTCGTGGATTGGAAGCTGACGTATTAAATTGGAAGTGTTTCTCAATATTGCCTGTCTCTATTCTGCTCAACTTGTTACCATTTATCACAGCGACGCGAGAGTAAGACTGGCAGAGATAAACTAGTGACTTCTCCTTTACACATAAACGGAGTCTACAACGACTGCTTAGTGCACATGATACTCGTTGCGTAGACGCGACTGTGAGAGAAACTGAGTCGAACAGGAAAGGGCTCGGCTATCGTTCTATCTACTGACCTTAATTGTCATTCCATATGTTATCGATCTCCAAGCAAATGTTTCGTCGAAGCTGCTACATTAGGAAGCTAAGACAATCTGGAATCACTCCGCCTCTACTTTTACAGTTTTTCAAATCTTGTTACTTACCCATGGTGATTTACTCCTCCTACTCCTGAGTCTCTCATCGACTACATACTCTCGAAAGACTTCGACATATTGCAAAGGATATCAGCGGTTTTCACCAGAGCCAGTGGTGTACATCTTAGTCAGCTTATTACTGCATTGGTTAAAAGATATCGGTACGCGTGTTTTCGCACTCAAAACCTCCTCTATTCTCAACTCTCCACTGCCATCTCATCTGAGAGAACCAGAAATCAGTACTGAGGATCATATGCTCGTACTACGCTGTCTACGAGTTCAAAAATGACATCTTTGGCCAACCAGCGTTCTATGCGATAGAGAGAATGTTAACTGCGAAACCGATGAATTACTTCGTTGTTAGTAAAATAATCGGCTCGTTCACTCACTATCTTCTATTTTTAACCGAAGGTGAGAATGTCTCAATTAACTGACAATCTCAGCTACCAATATTATCATTATTATTATTTTGTTATTCAATAAAATCAGATGCAAGATTGTTCCAAATGCTTAGAATTGTATACTGTATCGTTAGCACTGTTTGGGAATCAAACAAACTATTTTTGTGATTATTATTATTATTATTATTGAATTAAGAGATGAGCACGATATGGAAGTAATCAGAGCCATCTGTGTGTAAAGAAATATCGAAAATTTACCCACATATTAACAAGAATATATTTTCGATAGAAAGCACATAAGGTGACGCTCATTTGTTTTAAGTATTCGCAGAAAATCCACATCTTCATGCTTAACACGTCTCTCTTCTATCACATGAAATGCCAGTCACCTTAATCTTCGTCGAGCTATTACATTATGTCGTCTGATGATAGAGTCTTTTGCAGTTGGTTGGTTGCAGTCCCACCTGATGAGATGTGATGAGCGAGTTGTGAATGAGGAGGGAGCTCTGATTCTGACAAGAGGATATTCACCAGTTTCTTACATGAATTCGAGTGTCTGCTCGTAACAAATTATAGCGCGTTCACGTACTGGAGGGTCACACACTCTGATGACAGCTTTCAATGTGCTTCACTATGACACAAAGTCATTGTCAAGCTGTCCCGGATCAATTAAATGAGAGAGATAGGGAAGAGGAGGAAGTGAGTACACACGAGTGACAGTTTCTCAAGGTAGAGGCTAACTGATTGTGAACATGCACTAGTATTGAGGCATTTGAACTTAACGTATTGGATTGGAAATGTTTCTCACTATCGCCAGTGTCTTTTCTCATTCAATTGTCCTCAGGCGACGCAATGACGCAGAGGTAAGACAGGCAATAATAAATCCTCAGTCTACAACACAATCAACGGAATCTTGTGATTTGGCGTGCGGTAAACAATCCAGACCTCACTAACACTTTTCTAATGACGAGCCGCTGCGAGATGGATAGGAAGCATCACACTTCGTCAAATCACAGAAGGATTTCAGAGCGATGAATGTCGGTCTTGACTTTCACACTGCTGTTTTGACGTCGTCCTTCATGCCAATCGCCTGTAGTTAAGAAGATGATTTCTAGACAAGACAAAGAAATAACCTCTGTCAAATCTCTCCTGGTGATAGTCACTGGTGTTGGTTGTTGTTGATATCGCTGTTGTTACTGACTGTTGATCTTCACCACTTTTATTTCCTCTTTGTCCACCTGGAGTTTCGATTTCACTGCTTGCCTCTTCAGCAGGCTCACTGGATTCCGCCTGTAGGTCTTTGAGTCAGAGTGTGACACAAAACACAAACCTCCTGGAGCCTTCCATCGGTGAA